TTCCTTCCCAAGAGTCCATTCTGGGAGAGAATAGGGTGTTGCATTTTAGGAGAAGAGGTTCATGGCAAAAGACTTAACGCGGATAGAGTGATTAAATCCACCAATCTTTTGTCGGCCAGATCCTGACATCTGCTTTTTAGCATGCTTTGTCATTTATCATCAAGGGTGTATAATCACCAAACTTGTGCTTGATGCTGACGCTTTATCAGTACTTAATGTGGTTGATGTCTTTGGGGAGCAAAAAATCTGACGTCAAACTTTTACGTTGATTTTCAAGATCTGGGAAGGGAAGATAGCAAGAATTGTCAGCCCACTGTTTTGATTGTCAATAAACACATCCGTTTCTCTGGTTCTTATCAGAAGATGTCAGTTTTCTCTCCTTGGTTTAAAATGCAGAGTAGTTCATGGCCGATCCTGGATACCATTCTCGGACACTTCTTGCATCCTTTGTTTATCGTTTGTTGAAGTTATTTAATTCAATCCAACTAACTCTCGAGGCTAAACTCGAGGTACACCTCGGAGAACTGCTGATATAGAACTTCGCTTCTGTCGCCAAGGTTTAAGGTTGGTCTGCTCCACTTTCTTGAACTACTTTTTTTTGACAAGTCTGGTTGTGTCTAGAACGCTACTTAGTCGTCATTTGATTTCCTCTATTATTTTCACTAGAACCCAGTGCTGCTCAAGTTCTTCGCGTCATTCAATGGCTGATGGAATTCTCTCCTCGTGGCCTACCTCATGCTCCATCCGCTTTCATTCATGCCTGTTTCGTTCTCTTTCTTGTTCGTCATTTGAACGCTCACCTGCCAGCAGCCGAGTCTGCCGCCTGTGAGGTTGGTCACACATCTTTCCCTCTATAAATTTGTCACAATCAAGGCAGTTTAAATCTACATGGAAAAACCTATAACAATGTTCCACTGGAGGTCTTACTTGTTTGCATTTATGCAGAACCAATTGATAATGGAAGACACTCGGTTTGGCTGCATTTAGTATGGCGAGAGTAGGAGTTGAATTTGAGATCTTTGCCTTAAAGGGTGCTCATAAAGAGTAAGCCGTAGTTGTGCTGCTACGGTTTAGTGGTTTCACTTATGGTCTGTTCTAGTATTTCTCCTGTCAAACTGTGATCGACGAAAAGATTCTGCTTATCCTCACGAAATTTGGCATCCTCGCTTCTCTTCATTGTAGCATCCAAATGTAGTCGGTTACACCTATTCTCTCCTAAGCCTGACGTGGGAGCCGACAGCCACTTGGCAAGGTAAGCGCATATCTCTCTTCAGGCTAACCTTAATCCTCTCCACGAACACTTCTCAACGTTCGCATTGCTACTGCAGCCTATTCTCACAAAGACTGCCTGGGAGTCCTCATCGCCCTACATCTCTCTTCACCTTTCTTTGGTCCCTCCGCAAGTCCCTTGAATGAGTGCTTGGAGATGCTTGTGAATCTTGTCAAATTCAGTCTCCAACCTCTTCTCCAGGGTCGAGATCGAGATAGCGGTAACACCAGCCAGCAAACCCATCTCTGCTACAGTGGCCTTACGACTGAGACTGCTGGCCTGTATGGAAGGAAAGTGTTGGAGGTTTTTAGTAGGTAGGCATTAATTTTATTTCGTTTTTATCGCATGACTTACCATTCCCAATTTGCTATCAAAAGTTTTGCAAAGGA